GATGGGGGCCGATGTGCTTGAGCTTAAAGTCTGGGGGGGAAGCACAACACATTGCAGTGGAAGTGAGGAAGCTCAGTTCTGGAACTCCCTGCTACACTAACACGAAGCACAGTATTTTCCATATGTGGGAAGTTAGTGGGTCACTTTCCCGTATGCGGGTGGCTCTGTGCAGCCACAGGAATAAAGAGACGAGCAAGCATGATAACAAATGGGTGGCATGACGCTATAAAAGACACCCTTCTGATGCAGATAATCGTTGAAACACTGCCTAGGGTGCACCAAGACGACCCCGTTCAGGGAGATTGGTGCGTGACTGGAGACGAAGTCAACACATGGGTTGATGCAAGCTCCCTGGCAATAGGTGTGCTGGGAAACTGGGGAGTTATGCTAGAAGATTCGTGCTGGCTTAGGACCAAGAAATGACGTGCAGCATACAAACCTGACATTACAGTGGTGGGCCAAGGTGATACACCTGTACACGGACTTGGTATGCATGATGCTAGTGCGCAGGAGGCTGGCTAATCTACAGCAAATTGAAGAATATGGTTTGGTAGTTGACGTCACACTGACTACGTCATGGAGGAACCTGGCCGATAAGTTGGCTAAAGTACCAAAAAGATGGCTTGACATGTTGACGTGCACAGCTGTTACAAGCCAGCTGATCATCAAACAAATCTGCACCATACATAGCAAGAGCGGTCATCCTGGCGTTCAATGTTCGACTTAACTTTGTCCAGAAAATATGTCCTGCAGTGACAAAAGCAATGGTTAGGTCAGCTGTACAAGGTTGTGAGGAATGGTGTGCGGTGGATCCTACCCCAGTCCAGTGGAACAAGGGCAAGCTCAGGGTAGACAAAAAATAGTGGTGACTGGGCGTGGACATGACACATCACAATGGCAATCATTTACTAACTTTTGACAGAGTGCAGCCCGGCATGTTTCACTGTATGGTACAACAAGATGCATTATCGATTATACAACAATTATGAGCTATCTTCGATGAACGTGTGCGATGAGGAAGGTTGGGATGACACTGTAAATGCCAAAGACCCGCAGAACGTAGACATGGCAGTATTGCCACCAGAAGCATCCCTTCTACCTCTACAAAGGAGTGTTCGTCGAAGGTGTTCGGCCCCGCCCTGTCATCTCTGTGATCATGAGATCAGGGGGGAGTTTGAGAAACGAGAACACTCACTTCCTGCAAAGCAAATTTGCTTGGCGTGTCAGGTCCTGTTGAAAGATCATGACTGGCATTAAAAGAGAAAAAAAAAATCAAAAAGACTAAGAATTCAAATGAGCTTGAATTTATAAAATTGGAAGTCTCGGGCAAACGAGAAGTCCCATATGCAAATTTTAGTTAACCCCCCGACACAGGCATAAATAGCGAGTCTGGGAGGAAGATGGGAGAGTGCATTGTTGGCGTGACAGCATACTCATGAGACTGAGAGAATAAGAGGTCACTAACAACAGCTCAGTTGGTAGACTGGAGGACTGGACTAAAGCAAGCACTTTAATCCATTTTAGTCATCAGAAACGACAGGCAAACTGAATTAACCACAAGCTATTTCTGCAGTACTTTGACAATTATGGACCGGTTTGATTTGAAATTAATACCAGAATTTGATGGCTCCCCTATTGGTTCGTCTATTGTTGAGTGTTTTGAGAAGGCGGAGCGTGTCTGCAAACTGTTTAAAATCAAGGAACCCACATTAGTCATCCCGTTGAGGCTAACAGGAGGTGCTTATGCTTTCTACCAGCAACTCAGAGATGAAGCAAACTTGGACAAAATCAAGTAAGCCCCTTATACAGCATTTAGCATGGAGGAGTCCATTGCTCGCAGGCAATTTATTGGTCGGCAACTCCTCCCTGAGGAGACAGTTGATGTGTACCTGGCCGATCTAAGAAAGTTGTCAGTATCATTTGGGTGCGTTAACAACTGGATACTGGTGTGTGCATTTTTTGGAAGGTCTACCCATTGATGCCAGCCAGCTTCTGCAAGCATCATCAAAGCTGGAGGAAGACAGCAGATTGCGTTGTAGGTGTGATGGCGTATGTGTGTACTTACGAGACTGAGAGAATAAGCTCGGTAGACCGGAGGACTGGACAAAAGCAAGCATTTTAATCCATTTCAGTCATCGCAAATGACAGGCGAACTGAATTAACCACACATTGAAATACTCTATTGAAAGATATGAATCAATCTCTTCTTCCCCCTAGCCATGGGTTAAATAGGACAAAGTCCTATAGCCTTTGTTAGCAACAAATTTATTGCGTGAATTCTTCTACCAAGACAATCATGAATCATTAAGAGACTTGACTGCGCAAACATGCATTTACACATGGCACCCAAGTAAAGGAGGACATAATCTCACTGTTCTTGAAAATTATCAATAATAACTGCAAGGACATATTTTCTTTCCATACAAGATAACGTGACCAAAACAAATCTTGTGTAGGGTCCTTAAAAAAAAAAAAAAAAAAAAATGCTGAAATTTGCATTCTGTGTGGACAGGAAAGAAACAGGAACATTTTAAGTGAACATGAAAATAAAAGGACAATAGACAAGCTTTGATTCACTTTATCCACAATTTTTTTTTTTTTTTTTTTATTATTATTTACAATGATCATTTTAAAGAAGAAAATATAATGAAGGTATTTGATTACACTGAGAATTGACAATGAGTTTTGAACAAAGTCTCCCTCCCCAATTAAGATGGGAAACAGAGTCTTGAATGAGAAATGAATATACATCTGGCAACCAGAAAAAAAGTTAAACAGAAAAACAATTAATACTGTACAGTCGGATGAAGAGGAAAAATTTTGACCAATTTAGTAGTAATACTGACCAATAGAGAAGAGGGCTTTTTGAATTTGTGGGTGGGAGCTTAGGGTTCAATTTTTTTTTTTTTTTTTTAATTTGTTTTAAAACTTCAATCTATATACACAACTTATCTCACTCATTCACTGTCATTTTTTTCTTTTTAAAGGATGGACTTTGCTGTGTTTTCCTTCATTTAAGACCTGAGGAAATTTCAGCTGCAAATTTATAAATTAATTGGCACAATTAAAAGAAAATTCCCTGAGGTTATTTATATATACGTCTTTATGACAGGCATACAAATTGCTGGCCTCAAAAGAAAAGGGGAGATAATTTTACTCACGCTGAAAAACGAAGAGATTCACAAAAACATGGCAGCAGAACAAGCCAAGAATTAATATATTTGATTATCAATCAAATCATGAAAATACTTCGTTTGTGTGTGTGTGTGTATTAGAGTAGGTTTCAACCCCTTTTCTTTTGGTTATGAAGAAATTTTCAAGTTTAGAAAACATCAAATTCCACTGACTTCTGTCACCGAGAAAGGAAACTATTTAAATTCAAAGTGATCATCTTTCTCAACCTTAGCATTTGGAGTTTCAGCTAAGTTCTTTTCGGGGGCAGGGGGGGGTGACTTTTCCATAATATTAAGAATAAAGGAATCCCAAATAAGATTAAGGGAGTGGGAGAACTCAGAAAAATCAAAGTGTACACTTCATTCTTCTCCTTCCAATCTATAGATTTTAAAATTTGAAGGAATGAATAGTATCAATTATTTGTTAACCATCACTGTTTCAGCCGTTCAATGAAAAGTGCACAAGAGGATAGGCTCACAACTCTATTGCTTTGAAGAGATTAAGACAGACTTGGTTCTGGGGTGAGAGCTTACAGAGTTTGAGGGCGGTGAAAGGTCAATATTGAGACAGGTAGAAAATTAGAGTTGGAAGCTGAGAAGGCAGAAGTTGTCTGTTCGGAGTTTGGGATTCAGCAGGGGAACACTGAATAATTTGTAAAGCATTTAAAGTTTTAATATTTTCATTCTAGAGATTTTTTTTTTTTTTTTTTTTTTTTTTAAACATCCTGGATTCTGACCCATGAAGAGAATAGACAGATCAAAATATGATGAAAAATAAAATCTGAAGAGCCCCAACACCCCTCCCCTCTCCAATATTATTTACCAAATTCTAAACATTTTTTTTTTTTTTTTTTTTCAGTCCCATTTGGTTCTTATGTCAAGTTCTCCAAATTGTAGACAAAAACCTTCAGATATATACATACAAAAATAAAATTAGAATATACAGTGTAACCCGGATATAAGAGAGTTGTCGGGACCGGAGAAGAAGTCTCTTATATCCGGGTTTCTCTTATATCCTGGTTTGGTCTATTTTGTTTAGGTAAGAACGGGAACACTTTGGGACCAGAGAAAATCTTTCTTATATCCAGGTTACACTGTGTGTGTGTGTGTGTATATATATATATATATATATATATATATATACACAATTCATTTAAAAAAAGGACCAAAGAAGGCAGAACCTTATTTCCCCTTCAAACTGGGAAAGAGAAAAGAACATATAGAAAAAATTGCTTATGCTTAAAAAGCTTCAATGATCTTTGAAAGTTTATCAAAACTGCCTACTTTACCTTCTGCCTTCTCTTCCGAGAAACTGTGAAATAAAATCCTTTTCTTTTAAGAGTGCCCACCTCCCCACCCCCACCAAAAAAAAAAAAAAAAAAAAAAAAAAACATGAATAGTACTGATGGGGAGGACAAATTGTTCTGTCCTCCAAGATTTAAAGCAATTTGCTTTTGTGATTGCAACCATTGCACGAAGATAGGGGTTACAAGCAGTTTACATTAATAATATCAATTTAAAAATTTTTTTTTTAACTTAAAAAAAAAAAAATATAAATGAAAACACCCACACTTCACCCTCAACTTCAGAATTCAAGCAACTCCAAATAAGACAGCTACAATCACATACACACTTACCATGTTTCATAGTGAAAGTTTTCTTTCAAAAAAATATAAAATATATTGGTCAATGGTCTCGGTAGGTAAGGCACATGCAGACTTTTGACTGCACATGAAGCAGTGAAGGGACACCTGTTCTACTCCAAAGGAGGTTTGAAGTCAAAAAAAAAAAAAAAAAAGAAAAAAGTTTTTGCCCAAGAGTCAACAGTCAGTCATCTTTTAGGCCAACCCCACTACTGCTTCCAGTGCCCATCCCGACAGAGCCATTAAGGTAATTTATGGAATGGGAACGTTTATCTTGTTGAAAGACCATTTTGAGTCGCTGAATTATTTCCTGTCTGATTGTAGCAGAAAATTTATTGACAAGGCAAAGGGCTGTAGCGACTGCAAACACCAGATTGTATAAGAGAATGATGTAAAAATTGCCAAGCCATTCCATGCTGCCAAAATCGCCAAGAAGATCAAAATTGGTGATTCCTGCAGATGAAAAAAAAAAAAATAAATAAATAAAAAAAAAAAAAAAAAAAACCACTGCCTGTACAACACACAAACAAAAAAAAAAATTGTACATTTACTAAAAATTACTGGTATTATGGATAGGGGACGAAACACCAAGAAAAACTCATGTTAAAGAATAAACATTTTTTTTTTTTTAAGTTTATTTTCATGCCAAAATTATATAAGCTGTCCAAAGTGTAATTGCAACATACAACATTTACTTAGAATCCCTTCATGTGGTCATATTTATCTACAGGAACTTATCACGAGGGGATTGCTTGCCTACTTCTCATTTTGTCCAGGCACAAATAAATGGGCACTAAGTGGTGACAGTCTATTTATTTCATGCTTAATTTGAAAGTGGTTTTCCAGATTAAAAAGAGAATACAGGTTTAATTCATGTTGGAAGGTATATTTAGTAATTTTCAATCTCTAGGCCAGTAGATATCATTTCACAAACACATAACGTTGGTTTGGTTTATTTTGTTTAACAGCATATCCACCTCAATGGGTTATTTAATGCCAACAACATTTTTTATTGCTGGTAATATTTTGTTTTGTCAAAAATCTGTTTCTGGTAATATATTTCCTTCAAAATTGTATTGCTGGCAATAATTTTTTTCAAAAAAGTATTACTGGTAATAGTTAACTATTTGCCCATAGCTGGGACCCTAACAGGTGCTACCATCCCGAGTCAGGGTGGACCTGGGAACACCAGCAATTAAGAGGTGGTTCCACACTCATCAAAACCTTGCGGATGGGCATAGTTTACTGTCTTACCCAGGACGCGGATGTAGTTTAACATCTTACTCAGGACGCATATAACATTGGATTAAAAAATTCATTAATAATGAATCTAACGGAAGCAGAAAAGTATTGGTTCAGAATGAAAAAAATTCTCTTACCAAGTGTCCGTGATAAGACGGGAAGGGCTGAACTGAGAACAAGGATGACAATGCAATTTGCAATGATGAGAACCATGGTTGTATCATCTATTTTTGGCTTTAAATGACAAAATCCAGGAAGCGTATAAAAACCCACAACTGAGGCGCACATTAAATAGCTGAGAAGGAAATTGTTAAGGAAAAAGATTGATGGATTTAGGGTTTTTTGTTTACAGGAGAGTATTTTTTTTTTCAAGTGGCTGGGAGTTGTTCATTATCAAGAGAAGGAATGGTAAAATTTGATTTAATAATTTGTTTAAAAAAAAAAAAAAAAAAAAAAAAAAAAAAGGTGAGTGCTTATCTTGAGGGCCTCTTTTTACTTAAAATAAATGAACTTGAATAAATAAAGGATCTTAGTTCAAGTGTTACTGAAATGGTTCACTTATTGATGGAACTGAAAAGAGAAAAATGTAAACAGGTAAAAAAAAAAGAATTAAAGGAAAAAGAAAGGAAAGAAAAGAATTAAAGGAAAAAGAAAGGAAAGAAAAGAATTAAAGGAAAAAAGAAAGGAAAGAAAAGAATTAAAGGAAAAAGAAAGGAAAGAAAAGAATTAAAGGAAAAAGAAAGGAAAGAAAAGAATTAAAGGAAAAAGAAAGGAAAGAAAAGAATTAAAGGAAAAAGAAAGGAAAGAAAAGAATTAAAGGAAAAAGAAAGGAAAGAAAAGAATTAAAGGAAAAAGAAAGGAAAGAAAAGAATTAAAGGAAAAAGAAAGGAAAGAAAAGAAAGGAAAAAGAAAGGAAAGAAAAGAAAGGAAAGAAAAGAATTAAAGGAAAAAGAAAGGAAAGAAAAGAATTAAAGGAAAAAGAAAGGAAAGAAAAGAATTAAAGGAAAAAGAAAGGAAAGAAAAGAAAGGAAAAAGAAAGGAAAGAAAAGAATTAAAGGAAAAAGAAAGGAAAGAAAAGAATTAAAGGAAAAAGAAAGGAAAGAAAAGAATTAAAGGAAAAAGAATCAAAAGAAAAGAATTAAAGGAAAAAGAATCAAAAGAAAAGAATCAAAAGAAAAATAAAAGAATTAAAAGAAAAATAAAAGAATCAAAAGAATTAAAAGAAAAATAAAAAAGAATTAAAAGAAAGAAAAGAAAAAGTTGTATTATGTTGTAAGACGCCATGAAAATATAAATCATCTAAAAGGACAAAGACATTCAAATGAAGGATTTTATTTGTCATTTTTCCCAAGGAAGTCAGTGGTGGGGGGATATTGTAAGTAAAAAAAGGAAAAAAAAAGACAAAAGATAGGTAAGAGGAAAATATTAGAGGAAGAAAAAAAAAATCATTTTGAAAAGGATACAGGATAAGGACAATCTCCAAGGCAGCCCCTGCTGGTCCCAGAGCTGATAATGATGTTATCCCAAGGGCAATTTGCTGGAGGGAAAAAAAAGAAAGAAAAAAAACAAGCAATCATTATACTAAGAAAAAGAAATACAAAATACTTTTACGGATGAAAAACATAAAAATAAAAAATTATTTTTCTATATTAAAACCTAGATATGCAGCTGATATGACCAATTCAAGATTCTGTTTTCTCTCATAAGAGGTCAAATTCCAGCTGAGATTGTTGTATTCACTTGAAATCAATACCCTTTAATCTATCTCCACACCACTGAGTTAAATAGCTGGGTAGACTGAATCCCTTAGTCTCTGTAGGGCAGCAAATCTATGAGGACAGCTCTGATATATTAAAAAAAAAAAAAAAAAAAAAAAAAAACAAAGGCAATACAAAAATCACTCCACTACCTTTACCAGGAAAAAAAAAGTCAGGATAAGTCAAAATTTGCAGATATTTTAAAAAACAAAAAAAAAACGTGGAAATCAATGATTACTTTATTCCTAAGAGGACATGCTATAAAATAAACTCTCTCTCATATATAAAGCACTAGTTACAGTTGACGGATTAAAAATCCAACAGATACCAAAAGACTTATATATATATATATATATATATATATATGAAAATAAAACGGACAGCATACAGTTTTGTCTTTATTTCATTCTTACGAGAGGAAGAAGATGCTCTATGAAATGCAACATTTATAGATTTTTCCACTTTGTCTGGCAATCTCTCTTTTTTTCTCTCTCTCTCTCTCTCTATATATATATATATATATATATATATATATATATATATATGTGTGTGTGTGTGCCTGAGACAAAACAAATTTATGTCAGAGGATATCCCCAGCCGAGGCTCTGCGAGGGTAGAGTCTCGTCTCGGGAAACTGACTCCATTTTTACATGGTCTAAAGGGAATTTTTGCCCGAGCATAGGGGCTTGGATACCCCACTTTAAACTCGGCCTTATGCTACATCTTGCTGCGTGGGCAGCGGGTAAATAAGTGTGTGTGTGTGTGAATGAGTGAGTCAGTGAGAGAGATAGAATTGAATGAAAATGCATTAAAGGTTTCATCATCCCTAGCAATGACTTTCTCAGACTAATAATAGTTTTATCAATGAATATATATATATATATATATATATATATATATGCATGCATACATATAAAAAACGTGTGCGTTTTTTGAGAATTATTTAAAGTCAAAACATTTTTTATTATAAGTATAATTCTTTATTTTGTGAATATGATTTTTTTGGGAGTTAATGATTTTTTCCAAATAAAAGTCATACTATTTAAGTATTAACTGGTGGTAGAGATGGATCCATACCTTTCCCACTGGTATCTGCAGAGAATGTAACACATGGGGCTGGAATTGGAAATTAGTTCTCTCCGATTTCTCATTCCAAGCCACTATCCATTACGAGAAGACATAAGGGAAGAAATACAACAAACATGGCTAACAATTTTATGACATGAAATGATAAAAGGACACTTCATTTTAAATTCATAGAATCTGATGCATAGTTTAACTGACCTCATTCAGTTTTCAAACAATTTTGCTTTTAGTGTTAGTTTTTAAATATTCCATGTATGCGAGGTATGATCCAAAAGTCTCGAGACTGTTGCTTAACAGAACTAAAGTACTCGGAGTGAAGACGCTTTACAGTCTGACTGAATTCTTTCGCTTATGCACACTAAGTTATAACATTGCTGCTCACTTCCATTGTTTATAAAAGTGCTTGGAAGGGAAGTGTGTAGAGTGTGGTAATCACACCACAGAGGTTCCATCAGTGAGCATGGCCTGTGCAGCAATTTTTGGGCAAATACAACATTCCCCAGGTTTCACCCCATTGTGACATTTTCCTCTTCATAAACCAAATTCCACTTGAAAGTAACAAGATTCCAAAACATTAAAGAAATCCAAGAAAATTTGACGATTAATATTTTTATGATCACCAATTCATTCTCTTTGCCATAAATCATTTGCATTGCAGAAAAAAAAAGCCTGGATATGAAATGATCAACATAGCTATGCAATAGAATGGAAATAAAAAAAGATGACAATACTAGTCAAAAAATAAGCAAATCCCATGTAAAAGTGAAAGAAATTGGGGAATTTTCATTTCACCAGACAAATCAAATCCAGGTAGACAAACATTGGCAGATTTCCCTTCAGGTCGAAATAATTCTTTATAATCAAGTACACTTGGTCGACATGTTGTTACTCTTTCTTGGTGCCAACACCCACTAGAAATTGAAATGATGAAAATGCCTGACAATTTCCAAAGTGTTTTTTCTTTTTCTTGATTTGTACCTTAAGGTGATTAATACTTAAAAGCTGGGGCAGGGGTTGTAGATTGTCAACTAACCTTTGTCCCAAAAGGTAATTCTTTGATTCCAATCAACAGTTGGATTATATTGTGAGACACCATCAAAACACAAATGGCCTGAAATGACAAAAACATTGACATAAAAGATTTTATTTTTCATTTTTCCAAAGGAAGTGTTGGTGGTGGGAGGGGAGACTAAGTGAAAATAAATAGGGGAACAATTTTAGAACATCATCATCTCCATTTAAATATTTAGATTTTATCCATGAGAAATTTCACTTTTTGTTTTTCTTTTTTTATTTCAAGACACTTTTATCCAAATTGACAATCTGACAAAAAACAATTACTTTTGAAATGGGTGTGAGAAATATATGAGGAAGTGATGAAAAAACAATCAAGAAGTACTTAAGAATTATGTGCATGTGTGTGTGTGTGTGGGCGGGGGACAGAGAAAGAGGGGAGAGAAAAAAAAAGGACAGAGAAAGAGGGGAGAGAAAAAAAAAGGACAGAGAAAGAGGGGATGGAAAGGACAAAAAAGAGGAGATGGAAAGGACAAAAAAGAGGGGATGGAAAGGACAAAAAAGAGGGGATGGAAAGGACAAAGAAAGGAAAAGGTCTTTTCAGCAACATCTCAAACAATTTCATAGGTGAAACAAGAAATTTGATGTTTGGGTATTTGATCAATTATTGGGAATTGGGTTGACCCACTTCATCTAGTGTGATTTTGACCCTGAAACTAACACTGGATGGAGGTGGGTGTCTGCACATGCTCCAACAGGACAGCTCTCTCCAACATGGCATATATGAGCCAAGTGCAGCTGAGCAAGAATTTTCATGCTCCCCTCCCCACCAAGCCCAGGTGATTTGTATCCACTGGACTACTACTAAGTATCCCAAACCTCCCAACTTAGTTTACATTGTGAAAATGGATCAAAACAGTGAAATTTCCTTCCAATTCAACGGATTATATTTTGTCTATTTTGATTAAATTGATATGTAAACAAAATTTAATCATTTCTCTTTATAAAGATACAATTCTTTCTCATATGTGATAATTACTTTTTATTCCATATCATTAAATTATGCTACTATTCCAATAATGGGCACTTCTTTTTCTGCATTTTCAAAGTTTTCCATTTCATCATAGTGTTATTGAATCCTTTTCCACTTGAAATTGTGTCTCCCTACACATATCAAAGTAGTCCCCCCCTTTTAAAGAAAAAAAAAGGATGCTTGCCAGCTTGGTGGGCTTAAGATAATGTTTGAAGTTGTCTTTCACAAAAAATTTCTAGATTGAAATCTTTAGTGGATGAAATACCAGAGAAATTCAATGCTTAAACAAACTAAAATTGCACCTTTTTGTCGAGCAATGTCTTTAAGAATCAGTTGGCATCATATCTTCCATACAACTCAATGTGCACCCAAATCCAAAAGAGGATATACTGTTTTCATTTTGTGCAAAACTGTTGGGTCCAAGACATTGAAATTGGTGCTGACCTAGTGAATGAACATTGACAGGTGAACCACTTTTTAAATCAGACTTATGGATATCACACAGTTTAAATCTTTCATATATTTTCTTTAAGTACTTATTCATTGTATTTTGTCCAAAGTGTAATGCTCAAATCATGTTCTCACTTGAATTGTGCATAAACAAACTAAAATTATGACACACATACACACATGAATTATGCAAACAAACACTGCTTGACAAGACAGATGCACATGAGGTCTGCTTAACCAATGAAAAAAACAAACACTACAAAAAATTAAAAATAGTAGAATTATATTTTTTTCCTCCATATTTTATTCTCTAATGAAGCCCAAATAAAAGCCAAACATGTTAGATTTAAAAATGTTTTCGATTTGTTCCTTATCATATCATTGTCTGATTCCAATTCATATACAGGGGGTAGCAAAAATACTTTTACAAACTTTGGGGGCAGGTTCCTGGCACCAAAACAAGGTAAAATGTCCATATAAACTTATGTCCAAAAAGCCATCGTTGTACAGCAACTCCTAACAAATGTTCAAAATGTCCTCCCCTTGCTTCTACACACGCATGCACCTGTCGGTTCATAGACTAGCGAACCCCCTTCAAATACTTCCACACAGTGTCGAATGGTTTCGCAGGTCCCCATAACACACTGATGAAGTGTCTCTGCATTATTAATATCTGCTACATGAACCAATTGTTATAGCTGACCCCACAGATAAAAATCCAAAGGATTTAGTTCAGTGGAATATACAAGCCATGGAACTGATTCTCCTGTACCTATCCATCTTTCATGGTAAATATTAGCCAGTGCATCACGAACAATGTGACTAAAATGTGCTGAAACCCCATCATGCATGAACCATATGCATCTTCACAGGGGTATATCCTCTAACAGATCTGGAAGTGTGTTCGAAATAAAGTCCCTGTAGAAAGCTCCTATAAGATGTGCTGGAAGAGCATATGGACCTACCAGAGAGTCACCTACAATTCCAGCACACACATTAATCATAAACTGATCTCTAGCCTGTATTGTTCCATGGGGATTCTGATCCGTCTACAAATGTTAGTTGTGTAAATTTGTTATTCCATCTCTTCCAAATGTTGCCTCATCCATAAACAAGAGACAAACAATGGATCAGCAGTTTGTGCAAAAAACCATTGGCAAAAGTTCTGCTGTGAGTAATCAGAGGGTGAAGGACCATGCACATGTTGCAAATGATACGGATACAGGAGCTGTTCTTGAAGTGCTCTCCATGTGGTACTATGAGATATAGTAGTACATGCTAAGACCACTTGACGTGTAATGATATCTGGATCATCTCTGAGAGCCTGTAGAATATGTTCTTTGTGGTCAGGTGTACAAGTGGCTCTTGGTCTTCCTCAATGCATAGCTTGTGGTGCCACAGATCCTGTCTTGTCAATGTGATGATAAACAGCAAGGGTAAAAGTGAGACACTGCAGGATGTTTTTAAAAATTTATGTATTTGGAAGAGATAAGTTAGAACAATGAGTGATGGATCTGTAAAAAAAGTTTTTCAAAACATCCTGCAGTGTCTCACTAACTTTTACACGCTTTAGCATCCAGAATGTTTTCTTACATTTATTTGAATATTATCTGTTACTTCATTACACGTAACATGTATCTAACCAATAAGAAATAGCCAAACACAACATGCCATTAATCTGCCTCTCTTTGCTTTTTACCATTTCTATCTTGATCTCTGACAAAGGTTTAATAAAGTGAAACATATTACATTAAGATCTGCTTCCTATTTGTTCTTTACCCTATCATTTTGTCAGATTACTATCCATATTCTCTCTCTCATATATATATATATATATATATATATTATATATATGTGTGTGTGTGTGTAAAGCACCAATTAAAATAATGCACCTTTGCCCCCTACAAATTTCATAAATTTAAGCGTTCTACTAGGCTGGCATCTCGCTCACACCCTTTCACTGTTGAAACTGTTAAATGTAGCTGTCTCTTCTACTCCAATAGCTTCATGTCTTGCACCTCTCGCCTGTGGAACTCCCTCCCCTTTTCCTGTTTCCCTGATAGCTATAATCTCCAACTATTCAAATGTCAATCGATGTCTTCAGATACCCTGATCTATCCCCTATCCTTCTCTTCATCCTTTCCTCTATCACTCCTATTTGCTCTTGCTCCAACTCTCTGTAACCCCTAGTGTGCTAGTGACATCCCACCTTGCTTGGAGTGAAATGCTTAAAAAAAAAAAAAAAAAAAAAAAAAAAACTGACCGTTAATGCCAATAAGATGAGCATCACAAGAGGGTAGCCGAGATTTCTCCGAAGCGGTGATGCCATTTTCCTTTTTTCTGAAAACAAATAAAAGATTAAAAATAAAACAAGATATCATTTTACTTCTGCCAAATTTAAAAGGCTTGAAAATTTTTCTCCCTAGCTTAGTGTTTATTCACCCCGGATATAGAAACTCTCCAAAGAAATCTTCACAAAAGGTACAGCATTTCCAGGATAGTCACCCCCTGCTCCAGTTTTTCCCCTCTGAAAATATTGGCATATTGTAGGTAGAGTGCTTGCCCTGGATGCCAAGTGAGTAGTTACTGTTCAAGTCAAACAAACCATCTGCGATAAGAAGAGGAGAGTGAAACAACAAAAAAAAAAAAAAAAAAAAAAAAATTTTCTTCATATCACTGACCTGGCTTTGATTATCAAAAGTATGATTTGTGAAAATGACCAGAATCTCAAATCACTTTATAATCAACATACCAGATGACAGCACATTCTTTAGATATCCATTTGTGAAAAGCAAGAAAGGTGAAATTATAATTGTCATGTAGGTATTAAATAATTAAAAGATTAATGAACTTGATTATTTTTTTTCTTTTCTTTTTTTTTTCTTTTAATTATTTCACCCCAAGAAAGGTAATAAAGCCACCAAGATGCAAGGGGTTATTATTGAATGTGAGAGAATATGAGAAAAAAAGAAAGAATAAGAAAACAGGAACTAAGAAGACAGAAAAGGCAAAGGAAAGCTACATTATGGCAGTTGGAAAGTGACTATCCAAAATGGTTTCCCATTGCCTCTACCATTTAAAGACAGGTTTGGGCAGGAATGCAGTTTCAGAGCTTTCCACAGATACTATTTGCTGTAGACCAGGTCTTGCCTTAAGAGTTCTGTCACCCAATGTAAAACTGAGAACAATTTTGAGCCATAAGTTTATTTTATATATACAATTACAGATTGAAAATTTACTCACCCAAAACTAATTTTTCTTTCATGACTTCTTCTAGGGCTTTTTGTAAATCGGAACTGGCACAACCATTAGCAATTTTTGATGGAGCTGCAGAAAACAAAAAAAGGAAAAATAAGCAAAAAAGCAACAAATAAATGAATATTGATACTATTCAACATGAATTATCTCCCTTGCTTTTACTGAATTAAAAAAAAAAACAAAAAACGATGCCTCCCACCCCGAGAAACTATTAATCAGCAATAGAACGTAATTTAATGATTTCATTGAATAAATTTGAATAAATCATTAAACGTTTATTATAAGTAGATTAGTCTGCAACGTTTTATTTGTTAGGCAATAGTGACGTGGGTCAGTGTCTGTAACTAAATTTTTTTTTTTATTTTTATCTGTAAAATTCATTTAAGAAATAATAGTGACAGTTTAAAGTTGCCTCCCGTGGAAACTCATTATTTTTAAAGATTAATTGGTGGGGGGGGGGGGCATGCTAACAAGTGTTGGAATCGTCACATTATTGTTGAAGTTATCGCTAACATTTTTTTATCGATATTTACAAACTCTACGTTTTGTTCAAATTCGCAAACCAATTGATGAAATATGAAAAGATATGATTACCCAGGAGACATTTATTACATAGTATACAAAAAAGAAAGCAGGGATATTTGTTCAAATATGTATACTCACTAAATATATCAATTAAAGAAATAATATCTTATTAAAAAAAATAAAAAACAAACATTAATTGCTTAAACTAAATTTGTATTGGTTCTATGCATACTTGTTTTTTTTTTGTTTTTTTTTTATTATTTTGAGAATTTGATAGCGGGGGTGATTTTATCTAGTGTTAAACAGAAACAGAAACAGTAGGGTGAGAGTCATTAAAATAAATAAGTTTATTGGGAGAGTGAGGAAGGGGGAAAACTTACCAATATTGGAATGCCGAATTTTACGTCTGAGATCTTCCTCAGTCAATGTGACTCGATAGAGATCGCTGTCGATGTCGTGCAGAAACTGAAAATAGACCATAAAAAAAAAAAAAAAAAAAGGGAAAATGGTTAAAAGACCAAAAAGTTGTATTTATAAAACTCATCCTGCTCCCCTATTTAACTAATCCAAGCCTTGAATGTTTATTAATCCATGAATCAACTTTGTAGTAGGCTGCAGCAGACACTCCTACATTTGTTACCCACATTTCTCAGATGACAAGTATTGGTTTTCTTACAGCAATATTTAGCAGGGTAGACTGGATTCTGAAGTCTTGTGTAGTGACCAATTTAGAAGAAGAAAAACTTTGAATTCAAAACTGTAGAGGAAGCAATGGGAAACCATTCCACTATATCTGAGAAAAGGGGCATAGAAGTTCACAGATAATAAAGAAAAGGAGAGCCACAATCATACATACCTTGAAGGTAGAAAAGCAAATTCAAAACTACAGGTAAGGCAACAGAAAACCACTCAATTTTTTTTTTTTTTTTTACCAAGAATGCATTGCAATTCTCAAATAATAGAGAAAAGGAATCTGTGGGGAAGGCAGAAGGAAACCATTCCACTATCTTTTCCAAGAATGCATGGTAACTCATAGATAAAGAAAAGAAATCTGTAGTAAAGGCAATAGGAAACCACTCCCCTATCTTTCCCAAGAATTTATGGCAATTCACAGATAGTAAAAGAAAGAATCTGTGGAGTGTCATGATCAAAAGGACAAGGCATTAAAAAAACAAATGAATCAATCATCTATAGGTACCACCACTGAAAAACAGTATAGTATGGTGAAATAAAGGCCCCAAGTATTTTTTTGATTATTTTTTGAATTTTTTTTAATCCTTTCTAGCACGTTCGATATATTGGTTAAAAATCTTCTTTTGTTTACATCAGCGGTTGACATTAATTATGATTAGTGTTTTTGCACATTTTTCTGGTGAAAAATACATCGATTTAGAAATTCTTGTAAAAATCAAATAATTGTTAGATTTTAATGAAACTTTCAGGACATATTCACAAATAAATGAAATTATTTTTGAAATTTTTTATTTTAGAAAATATTGGTTAAAAAAAAAAAAAAAAAAAAAAAAAATTTTTTTTTTTTTTTACCACCCACTTATTTCGTTTCATGAAATTTTGAGTAACTCAATTTTTAGGGCCAAAATTTGTTTAGTTAAACCTGGACTTTTTTTTTTCTTTTTTTGCAAAACAGTTAACCCAGTCACCAAAAATCTGCTCGGAATTGTAAAAAAAAAAAAATAAAAATAAAGCTATGACATTAATTAGAAAGCTTTTAATTGTTTCTATAAATAAGATTTATTAAAGACACTATTAAGAAAAATTTTTTTCAATGAATAATTGATTTTTACAAAATTGGTTTTCATTTTTTAAAAATCTTAATCAAATAATTTATATTATGAATCGTTTAAAATTTCGCATTACTTCAAGATGGTTAGGTAATATTGTTATTAGGTGAAAACTATATTTATGAATCAAAAATTGAAAAGCTTAATAAAAGTCATTTACCTCCAATATTTTAAAATAATTTTTTTTTTTTTTTTTTTTTTGCGTAGAAACATTCCCATTTTCTTAAGTATTTCAAGAGTTGTCTGCCCTTAAAATCTAGCCATCAATTCTTTCAGTATTCATTTCTATGTTTCACAATGTTTACGTTTCAACAGGCTTTGCAAATCTTGCCTTCAAAATTTTCAAATTTAAAGTAATTTTTACATTTTTAAAATTCCTATTTCATTAAATATTTTTATTTTATGTATTTATTTTAGTGTGGGCTATACTTCAATTAAGTAACCTGGTGACGAAATCCAATATAATTCTACTAAAAGAAATAATTTTTATTTTAACTTTATTAATTTTTTTTTTCTTATTCAATTTCTGTTTTTTAACGTTCTTATTTTTTAATTTGTGTGTCATTTTGAAGTTTCCTTTCAAATTATCTTTTTTAACTCTTATTTCATAAAAATGTTTTATTTTTTGTTAGTAGTTTTTTTATTTTACTTTTTACTTTCCGTTTATTCATTTTTGTGAGAGTTATTTTGATAAAATGCAACACTATAAATAAATGTGTAAGTAACTAAAATTCAATAAGATATTAGATAATTGCTGAAAATATGTTCATTTTTAAAAGTTACTCGGTAGTTAAAACCAAAAACAAAGCGTTCGTTTAGATTTCATAAATTTATGTCAATTTCTGGCCAACCGTACTTAGCTTTTCAGCACATCAGAAAAACAAGACTCCGTGGTTAAAAAATGCTCGTATGCTATGTTTTATGCTATAAGTAATATTTGTTTCAAATCAGATTAATTTTAACTTTAAATTTGCTAATTTTTCTCAAATAACGAGTCATAAATATATATTTTATTTTTGGAAGATTTTTAAAACCGAGTAATAATTTTTATTTAAAAGTCTAGCAATTGGCCGATTTTTATTGATTTTTGAAAGTGATCAAAAAGTTGACATTCAAATCAATATGATTTCTATTTGAAATACACTGGAATATTTTGCTTACTGGAAATAGAAAATTTAATCCTTTAGCTTTCAATTAATGCTAGAAAGAAATCCTCAAGAATGCATTTTCATTTTTAAAAAGTCATTTTAAAACTTAGGTATCGAAAATTTAGTGGAGTTACTTCATCTACAATATATAAGCAATACAAAGATCTAGCAACAGAAACGAAAGAAAAAAGGGCAATAACTCTGGAAACTAAATTACTTCCCTTGAACGAGATATTTGTATGGATATTTGCAGCATATTTGTATGGAGACAAAAAGTCAAGATTATATAAAAGACATACACACACAAATCTATAACTATATGCTTCTGTTTCTTTAAGAAAGGAAAGAATAAGAGCCTCCAAAGTTGGGAGTGGCGCTGGAATTACACACTAGTGTTTTTTTTTTTTTTTTTTTAAAAAAAAAAAAAAACACTGCAAGAAGCTGATTGATTTTTTTTTTTATGATTTATCAACCCTTTTGCAGGCTATTTAAAGCCAGAAAATATTTTTAGATTGTAAGAATTTTTCTGAGAATGATTTACTGACACAAGTTTTACTAATTAACCCATGGCTGGAGGTGGAAGTGGTGGATTCATACCTTTCCCAATGGTATTTGTACATAAATATAATGAACCTGACTGGAATTGGAACTCAGCTCTTCAGTTTCCAATTCTAAGCCATTTTCCATTACACTGCACACATCCAAACTGACAACACCTGGTATTCCCAAATGGTCACCCATCCAGGTACTGACCATTAACAATATTGCTTTAATTTTGGTGGTCATATGAGAACATGTGTTTCAACATGATATGGTCTATAAGACCTGCAAGAAACTGAAAAGTGGCCATATACTTAATTAAAGCCCATCAATGCAAGTCATGAAAAACAAAAGTTCATTAACCTTGATTGTTTTTAGTAGTTTAGAAATCTTGATTCATCACATCCTCCTTTATACATACTTATAGATATATTTTAATTCAGCCTTTGGTTAAAAAAAAACCCAACAAACTTTAATTTGAGAACCTCTCCCCCACCCTTTCCACTTCCCATTTCTTCAAGAGATAAGTGTAGGTCACTATTTAAGATATCACTAAAATTAACAATCCATTAAGGTATAATTGATTGATTGCACAGTTGTATTACATTTTTTTTTTTTATGTGAAAATTGTTAGTGAATCTCCTTATTAAATTTCAATCTATATAAAGTGTCTATTTATATCTTGACTGTGTCTATTAAAAGGTTCACTTATCTTGCCTACTCAGAGTTCCAGAGAAATTACATCTACTCTTGAAGAGATTTTACTGAAAAAAAATTTTTTTTTTTCTTAATGCTTGTCTTGATATCAAGCATTATAATTACAAAGAATCATAAAATTTTGTGAGTCAAGCAAAGTGAAAAAAAGAAAGTGAAAAAAAAAGAAAGTGAAAAAAAGAAAGTGAAAAAAAGAAAGTGAAAAAAGAAAGTGAAAAAAAGAAAGTGAAAAAAAAAAAGTGAAAAAAAAAGAAAAAAAAAAAAAAAAAAAAAAAAAAAAAAAAGAAAAAAAGTGAAAAAAAAAAAGTGAAAAAAAAAAAAAAGTGAAAAAAAAAAAAAAGTGAAAAAAAAAAAAAAGTGAAAAAAAGAAAAAAGTGAAAAAAAGAAAGAAAAAAAGAAAAAAGTGAAAAAAAGAAAAAAGTGAAAAAAAAAAAAAAAAAAAAAAAAGAAAAAAAAAAAAAGCAGAAAAAAAAAAAGCAGAAAAAAAAAAAAAAGAAAAAAAAAAAAAAAGCAGAAAAAAAAGAAGCAGAAAAAAAAAAAAAAGCAGAAAAAAAAAAAAAAAAAAGAAGCAAAAAAAAAAAAAAAGAAGAAAAAAAAAAAAAAAAAAAGCAGAAAAAAAAAAGAAGCAAAAAAAAAAAGAAGAAAAAAAAGAAGCAGAAAAAAAAAAAGAAGAGAGCCAAAAAGAGAAAAAGGGAGAAAGAAAGAGATGAGAATGAAGTAAAGTTTCTTCTCACCTGAGGTTTGACAACTAATTTTCCCATTACTGTAAACATCCGAGCAAAACCTACAGGGGTGCAAACTGAAAGAAAAAAAAGGTGAAAAATAAAAAGGTGTAGATGAGATTGTAAAAGAAATCCAAAAGTATGATAAAGAGGAAACTTCCTCATTTATCAAATATATCAGTGACTCAAAGCTCATTAGTAAACAAGTATTCAATATTACACATTTTTTTTTTTTATCAAATGTCATGTGACTTCAGGATAGATATGCAGGATATATTCAGGATGGCTATTAAGAACAAAAAAAAAAATGTAAATTCTCTTTCATCATGTGTTTAGGTTTTATTACAATTCTAATCGTCACTTTTTAAAAACACTGTTGAGGAGTGAAAGTAGTTAAAATAATAGTGGTGTCAAAGGAAAAACCAGCCTTTTGACATTCCATTTTTTTTGGTGACATGAATGTCCAAGTTTGAAGTAGTTTTTAAAATAGACTTATTAAATTTTTTTCTATAGTTTTTTTTCCTTATTTACTAGTATTGTTGACTGTGTGGCACACTATACCAGGGACAAGCTTTCTATTTTGGTCATTGGTTTGGTAACATTTTAAACTGGTGACTTCTCTAACCATATTGTGTCAAAATCTGAAGAAGTCACACTACAGGGTTTGAAGCATCATGAACTTCAGTCAGTAATGTGTCACACAAAACTTAAATTGAAGCATTAGCAAAGTCTTAGAATGAGACTTGAAAAGAAATCTAGTTCTACAGGCAGATTCTGAAAATACCATGGACAGAACATGTGAATAAGAAGAGGTTTTAAGGAAAATAGGAACAAATCAGAAACTGCTAATATTTCTGAGACATATAGTGAGAAAAGAAAGCATGGAAAATTTGACACTCACGGGTCTTGAAGATGATAGAGACAGGAAAAGCAGTGAGTAACCTAAGAAGTTTGCGTAAATGGATGGCAGAAAAAGTAGTGAGAGGGATAGTAAAAAGATAAACATTGCTAAGAGCTACAAAGGATGGAAAGTTATGGAGAGCCATGATCAACCTACTTAACTAGCTTGTGTAAATGGATGGCAGAATAGGGAGCAAGAGGGATAGTAAAAAGACAAACATTGCTGAGGAACATGGCATATTGCCAACATTTCCTTGTTTGATTCATTTATTGATAATGATGCAGACAAATTAATCAAAAAGGATTAATTTTGGTAAAGTACATATGACTTTCCCAACAAGATTGGAACAAACACAGAAACAATAATAATAATAATAATAATAATAATAATAATAATAATCTGAACACTCAGGAATGTAAGGCTCACTCTGGCAAGGTGGTTCCCAACTAGCATCCAGTTGGCAGACAAAAATAAAGTGGGTTGTAACTTAATACATTTCCCAGAGATTCACAGTGTACTGATTGAGCACATTATCCACACGGGAATCAGCAGCCAATCAGGACTCGCAGAACCGGCTTTCCTGGGTATCAGAATGGAATCTCCCAGGCTGCCATATAAACCACCTACCAACTTGACCAAATGTTAAATATAAAATGGATCATGAGAATGACAATAAGTGCAAGTTGTCAGTGAATGCACAAAGTCTGCACTGAGGGATTGATTGATTTGATTTTTACGACTTGTCAACCCTTGAGTTATTTAAAGCCAAAACATTTTGGAATTTTTTTTTTTTGCAAGTAAGCATTGCATTAACTATTTTCTGAGAACAGCAATTTTTTCTGATGCAAGTACTACTATTTAACCCATAGCTGGGGAAGATGGTTTCATGTCTTTGCCAAGGGTATTTAAGTGTAAGTGAATGCAACAAACCAGAGCCACCAAGAGAATATTAAAGGTGGCATCATGATGTTGTAAAGATGATGCACTCGGAATTATGTTGCAAGTATGAATTGGAGATGGACAGATGTGGGGTGCTGACAAACTCCTGAAGGTGTCATTGAAAATGACAAGTACAAAATTTTGTCATAATCTAGTGAAGTACTGCATAGAAAACCAGATACTGTGTTGGTAGATTAAAAAAAAAGAGAGAACATGCAACATCATAAATATTGCATGCCCCTAGAGATGATAGAGTAGAGCAAGTTGATTTTAGAGCCGTGGTATTGCACTCAAATTGAAAGCTGGGGTGTGACATGATAAATAACGATACAAAATATATTTTCTTTCCAAATTGTTATCATTTTTGAGGAGACAAGTTTAAAAATTAATTTTAGGTTCAAAATCATAGCCGTTTGAATTTAATTCTGGTGATCAGTGAAAATCTTATGAAAATTTATACTTTACTGAAGTTTTACAAATTGTATATGAACAAAATGCATTGAAACAAACATTATTACTAAATCATTGTGCCATCAAATGAGACCTTCATTTATTTCAAAGGGAAATTATATTGAACAATTTATCTATATTATGATGTAATATGTCATATAGTGAATGCAAATTTAAAACATTTTGTCTCATATGTGCTCAGCAGTATTATGGTGTTATATACACTTTTATCTATTTTTTGTTTTTATTATGATCTAACACATCTTATCCATTGACCAGCCCTTTTTTTTTTTTTTTAAATCTTTCACAATTTTTTTTTTACTTATCAAATACAGTAAAAAAAAATTACATATTTTACTTATGCTGATTTATAATTAGAATTTTGGTTTGAATATGTTTTTCATTCAATATATCTAATACAAAAATTATCATCTTTATTTTGATTTATTCTTGACATAGTAAAATTTTGAAGTTAGTTCGTAAGCAAAAACCTTAGATATTTCTATACATTTGTTTCAAAAGATAGTTAAAAAATTGGTAAAAGCTATGATTCTAATTTTTTGTGTCAGTATTTATCACATCAAACCCCAGAGTGGTGCTGATTTAAAAAAAGTAAAAAAATCAACCCCCCCAATGATAGATTAATTGAAAAACAGGTATATTATGAGAGTTTAAAATGGAAAGTGTACAAAATGCGGTCAATGAAAAGAGTGAAAGTCATCTTCAGTGTTGCTGGTACAATAAGTATGAAAGTGGCTAAAGGCCACTGGGAGTCGGTGCCAAGAAAGTGGCTAAAGGCCACTGGGAGTCGGTGCCAAGAAAGTGGCTAAAGGCCACTGGGAGTCGGTGCCAAGAAAGTGGCTAAAGGCCACTGGGAGTCGGTGCCAAGAAAGTGGCTAAAGGCCACTGGGAGTCGGTGCCAAGAAAGTGGCTAAAGGCCACTGGGAGTCGGTGCCAAGAAAGTGGCTAAAGGCCACTGGGAGTCGGTGCCAAGAAAGTGGCTAAAGGCCACTGGGAGTCGGTGCCAAGAAAGTGGCTAAAGGCCACTGGGAGTCGGTGCCAAGAAAGTGGCTAAAGGCCACTGGGTGTCAGATATTATTAATATATTAATAATAATAATACACAGGAAAAAAAACCAGATTTCACCTTTCTTGGTATACAATTACATTATTATGTAAGGAACTCAATTGGCCAACACACTACCTTTTCTTTCTCACCTGCAGTAAAAGGAAAAGACTTAATGTTAGAAAGAAACAATAATAACATAATTAGTTCTGAAATTTGTTTCAAAACTAATTAGGAAATTATTGACATGGCCTAAGAAAATAATTAGCTTCTTGATATTTCTTGTTGTGGAGGGGTGAGAGGGGGGAACAAAACGGAAAAGAAACATAACATACTTACGTAGCAAGACAAGCACCCCAAGGAATGATATACATGAATACAGATAAGGTAGATAAATGTGCCAAACATCTGAAAAAATAAAAGACAATAAATTTTAGAAATTTGGAAGTTTGTCAGATTTTAGGAAACATACAATCAAAACAAATCATTTTCAATAAAGAAAACAAAAACAAAATCGGTGTGACTACCATTTACTGGGCCCACTAGTGCATCACTGTTTTAGTCAATTGGGTTTATTCCATTTATTTAACTATTTTATGAATTTTAATAAAAACAGGAACAAAGTTTAAATTATTTTCCATTAAAAGTTTAAAAAATTACTGTTTATTTTATTTACATTTACAATACAAACATACATACATACATACATACATAGCCATGTTTTTTTTGTTGAGTCAGGACAAGGATTAATCTTGCACAAAAGGTGGGTCCTGCTTGACAAATGAGTTGAGGCAAGGTTTTGCAAGGTTGGATGCTCTTTCGGATGCCCAACTTAGACACTCATGGTCGTCCAAGTACATTGAGTGTTTTCATAGAGACATCATCTGACACCTAATCTTCGCTCTCTCATATATATATATTCAAACAGGTTTGGTTAAATAATTTAGACATGTCAGGTCAATTAGTTTTCATTGTGATTCTTTAAAGTTCATGGATTAATTTCTTGGTAGCCTTAGCAAATTAAGAAAAGTACCAAAATTTTCTTTCAAATAGTTTTTATTTTACCAAGTACTTTCAATCTCATCTGAGACCATCTTCAGAGGTTTTAGTTGTCTGTGAGTATGTATATGTGTTTCTGTAGATTCAACACATTTCAACTGTTCTTTGTTACTGCTATGCAAAAGTTCAGGTGTTTGTTTTTTTTTGTCTATTTGAAGGGAATAATTTTTTTCCATTTTTGCTCATATATATATATATATATATATATATAACCCGTGACCTTGAAAGGATCACAATGAAAAATAATTGACATATGTCTAAATTATTTAACACCAAACCTGTTTGAATGAAAATATGCTGCCTATATATATATATATATATATATGTACATACATACATACATACATACATACATACATACATACACACAAGGGTATGATGGATAAATTGTCGCCATTTTATATTTTTAATTTTGTGCATATGTTGTTTGTTTTTGTCAACTGCACAGTATAGTATGGTCAGTTGTGTAAAAGAGCATCATGTTGCAATTCACTCCACCAGGAATTTCAAAACTGTATGCTGTACTGCTTGGCCTTCATGCTGGAAGCTCCAATACAAACATTTCAGAGTGTGTGTTAATCTGAGGACAATGATTTGGAAAGAGTTGGAGGAGTCTAATGGTGATTATGAAAGTACAGCAGCTCGGAAAACTCACTCTGATCATTCGGATAAGAAAAGAGTTCCTGAATTTGCTGGTGAGGGCTTCAGACTCAACACTAAGACCTACATGAAGAGCCCTGAGGAGGTACTACTGTCCTGGGTCAAGATGGTGGCTGCTGGAAGATCTTATATCTGGCAACAGGACTCTGCACCATGCCACACAAGCAGGAGAACCCAGTCATGGCTGTCAGGTAATTTCTGTGACTGCATCACCCCTTACATCTGGTCACCAAACTCCCCAGGCTACAACCCCCTTGATTATTATGTGTGGGGTGAAGTTGAGTGATAAACCCACAAAACTCCTTGTAACACAAAAGATGAACTGAAAGCAAAAATTATGGCAGCATTCACCAACTTATACAAGGAGACTGTCCCAAAAAGTTGCAGGAGATTCTGAAGTCACCTGGAGGCCATGGTTGAAGACGGTGGCAATTTTATTGAATAAATTTAGTCTTTAGTATTTCAAGATAGTTTTGTGCAATTTTGGTAAATATCTCTTAAAATGAAATGTCAGTGTTATTTTCATTTCTGCGCAATTTAGAGAACAATAGCACACTTTCTGTGTGTGCATATATATATATATATATATACACACACACACATATATATATATAAGCAGCATGAATTAGATTTATTATGTTTATTTAGTTTTAATCCTTTCAAGTCCATGTATGAATTTCTTGGTAGTTGTAGAAAATCGATCAAGAAAAATTCCAAAATTTTCTTTAAAATAATTTTTATTTTTCTCAAGTACTTTCAATCTCATTTGAGATTGTATTTTCGATTAATAAAATCTATTTAATACATCAAACTACTATACCGTAATCAAATGCATTCTAACTATAAGTTGGAAGAAAAGATTCTAAACAGACACTCAAACACTAAAATATCCCCCACTGATCCCAGTAGAAAAATAAAATTAATTATATACTATACTAAATTTAATAGACCCAACATAGTCA